GAGAGCTATTCTCTTTCTTTTGCCTATTAAAATTCCGCTCTAAACCTCACTCTTTGTGTGTGTCCATATCCTTGATCTCTGTGGCCATGAGACCAAGAATCTCGGGTGTCACACCAGACAAACAGACCACTTCAGTACTCTTTATGCTTCCTTCGTTCTTTACCTTCTGACTTTTCTATCATATGTATGGTACATCTTAAGATACCCCACCACAGTTATTAGATATTCTAAGGGCTGGAGGGCTTAATGCTTTTTCCCTTTGCATTTGGTTTGGGAAATTTCTATTAATCTATCTTCTAGGTAACATTCTTTTCTAGATGGTGTCTGGTCTATTGATTATTTTCCATTTCTACTACAGTTGTTTCATATTATACATTTTTGTTTGATTTACCTTAGTGTTTTCTTCTGTCTGCTTAAGTTACCCATCTATTCTTGCATGCAGTCTACTTTTTCCATTAGAGTGCTAACATATTAATCATAGTAATTTTAGATTCCCGATCAGCAACTTTCCACATCAGGGTCATATCTGAGTCTGCTCCTAATGATGTTTCTTTTGACCCTTCAGACTCTGTTTTTCCTTGTCTTTAACATACCTGGCTTTTTTTTCTTTCTTTTTTTTTTTTTTTCTGTCAAAAGGGAGAGTTATGTGATCAGGTAATACAAACTGAAATAAATAGACCTTTAGTATAAAATTTTTTGTTAATCTGGCTAGATGTTAAAATGTTATTTACTTTTTGTTCTGGATGTAGGTGCCAAAAGCTTCAAATCCCTTTTTTTCTTTTTGTCTCTCCTCTTGACTTTGAACTTCCCTGAGCAACCTCCTCAGAGAGTCAGTCTACCAGGAATAATTAAGAAAAATAAGAGAGGATAATATAAATGATCAGTGTCAGGAATGTTAAGGGAAGACATTACAGATATTACAATAGTAATAAAGAATATTATGAACAATCTTATGCAAATAAGTTTGCTTACTTGCATAATTCCTGTAAAACACAAATTTATTACAGAAAATATTCCTGTGAGACACAACTTACCAAAACTGTCTTATAAGGAAATAAAACAGCTAAATATTTTTCTATCTATTAGAGAAAGAGAAGTTGTAACAAAAATCTTTCTGTGGTGAAAGTTTGAGGAATAGACACTTTGTGAATTCTATCAGACATTTGAGGATAAAAGTTTACCACATCTATGCACTCTGTTTTAGAAATGCCAGTTTGCTGTCACACCAAAATTAAAGACGTTACACAGAAACTAAAATAAAAGCCAATTCTCACATGAAAATAAATGCAAAAACACTTTTAAAATATGGAAAAATTACTCTTATCAATCTATGATATATTATAATGCATCATTAAAAGTGTTTGATCTTAGGGATATAAGATTGGTTCAACATTTAAAACTCAATCACCTTTTTCTGTTCCTTAAAAGAGAGAAAACTATTTACTTGAAAGACAAAAGGAGAAGGCACCTGACTCAGGTGGCTGATAGTCATGAATGCATAAAGCAATCTTGCTAACTGAGGCTCCCATACAAATGGGTTTTGTTCTGACTCTGGTGTAATTAATTAGAGAATGGCTTTAACACTCTCCATTTCCATTTTCCTCTCTGAAATCACAAACATTATCACAAGCTCTATTATCCATGGCTTTACAATGGATTTTAAAAGTCCCAAATGTGGTTTCTTGGTGTGATTGCTGTTAAAAGAAAAGCTTCAACTTCATTAAATTTAAAAGAGTTTAACTGAGCAATGAACGATTTGTTAATCAGGCAGCATCCCAAGCCAGAATACACCCAGAGACTCCAGGGCAGCCAAGTAGTGGAAGACATAAGAACAGAACAAGAGAAGTAGGATACTGAAAATGGACATAATATAGAGAGACCACTGGATATGTTATAGCTCAGTGTTTGCCTTATCTGAATACAGTTTGAACAGCTGGCCACATTTGGTTGACCAAAACTTGGTGATTGACACAAGAGTACACTACAGTCTGTTTACACTTCCATTTAGGCTGCACAGAGAATCCTTTAGGCTAAACTTAAAATATGTAAGAAGGCAGCTTTAGGCTAAACTTGATTCAACATTGCTATTCTACTTACTTTTGCTTTTCTCTTTAGAGGCTTTCTGCTGTCTCCTCGACTGATGACTGCGTACAGATTGACAAACTATTTTTGTAATAAGCCATACAATAAAATCTTTATACTCTGCCACCAGATGGACTCTGCTGCTAGTCAACTCTACATTGCACCATGAAGCAGACGTTGGCAATGCATTAATGAATAATCACGGCCGTGTTTCAATAACATTTTACTTACAAAGTAGGTGATGTGTTAGTATTGTCCCACAGGCAACCATTTGCTAACATCTTGGTTAGAACATTAATCTGATGGGAACTTTCTGAGGACTTTGAATGATCATGGGAATTAGTTCTTCAGATGACACAAAGTCATGAAGGTTCACCCAGACATTTTCCCCCTTAAGAAGAGCTCTTGTATGTTTTATTAGTGAGCTTTCTGTGTGGACCCACAAATTGCAAATTATTGCCCACTGCTTCAGAATCAGTAAAAAATGCATATTTTTAAAGCATTTCTTTGCTTCAAATATTATAATTTTATCTGCACAGTATGGATTATGGAGCAATGTTCTGAATTGTCTTCTTCAGTGACAGTAATTTGTGTGTTGTATGCTGGAGTCTTAACTGAAGGCATTACCCATTACCCTACGTGAAATGATCACTAAAAGGGGACAGAAAAATGTCCTGAAACATGGTAGTTTCTACCAAGCTTCCCTTACCCTCTGACCTTTAAATGGGGCAACACGGCCTTCCTAATACACCTCTCTACCTATTATCTTGAAACCAACTCAGTGTATCCACATTAACAGCAACGTAAACCTATAAGTGAAAACTATGAACACTCAACGGTATTTTTATATATCGTCATCCTTCCAAATCCTCCTTGCTTTTTCTTTAGTTCTGCTTTAATAACGTTATCATATGGTTGCAAATCCAGACTTTAACTATCCTCTTCAAGACCCAGGTTCGTACTAAGACAATTAGCTTTCTTCTGCTCCATAGATGGCCTCAGATCATTTGTATTATCTATGAAGGAAACCAAAAATACTACTTCTCAAAATACTGAGGATTGCTAAGTTAAAGACACTGAAAATGCAGGGGAACCTGCTGCCTCAGGCACTCTTTGTCTTACAGCAGGACATAAATCCTTATTGACTGGTGAAATCACTTGTTTTTTCAGCCCAGAGAAGATACCAGCAGGAACCTGAGGAATCCGGGAACAGATTTTACCACCTTCCCACATTTTCTCACCTTTTAAATGACTGGAATTGCTTTCTCCTTTGCCTTCCACTATATAGGATTTATGGCTCTTTATTGAAATATTATTTAAACAAGGTTTCTAAGCCACAGCCTGGAGAGAGAAATACTTTTGAACTGAAGCCTATCCCTCGTGATGGGTAGAGCACGCATTAATAAACTCCTTGTTTTTCTTTTGTTAATTTGACTTTTGTTTTCAGGAGACTGTCAACTAAGAACCTAAAAAGGATAATTTTTAAAAACATGTTTTCTCCCCTACTGCTGTATTTGGGGCCCCAGTTTTCACTCATGGCCACATCCTGCTGTCAGATCTACTGCTGAGTTAACACAACATCATCTGCCAATTAGTGTCTTTTTTTTTTTTTGTAAGTACTTTTTTTTTTAAATTGCATTTTAGGTTTTGGGGTACATGTGAAGAACATGCAAGATTGTTACATAGGTACACACATGGCAGTGTGATTTGCTGCCTTCTTCCCCTTCACGCCAGTTAGAATGGTGATCATTAAAAAATCTGGAGAAAACAGATGCTGGGGAGGATGTGGAGAAATAGGAACACTTTTACACTGTTGGTGGGAGTGTAAATTAGTTCAACCATTGTGGAAGACAGTGTGGCGATTCCTTAAGGACCTAGAAACAGAAATTCCATTTGACCCAGCAATCTCATTACTGGGTATATATCCAAAGGATTATAAATTATTCTACTATAAGGACACATGCAACGAATGTTCATTGCAGCACTGTTTCTAATAGTGTCATTTGTTTGACATCTTGGGGTTACAGTACTCTGAAGGATACCCACTGCCCTTAAAAGACAAACCACTGGTGAGAAAGGGTTTATCAGGACTCTCGCCCTACCAGAAGTTCAGTGCATTTCCAAGACTTTCAAGGCTTCACTGCTGTCATGTTGTGAGCTCACTATCCATTTGGGTTTTTCCATGAATAACGAAGAAAACCTGAGTAATCAGGAATCTAATCATTGAGGTAAAGTAACCTAGTCATCATCAAGAGGACAGCTAGTGTTAAACTTCTTTATATATATTTGAGAAAGGATTTATATATTCATAATAACTTTCTGATCTGGCAATCCCTAGGTTTGTCAACTACTAATAACTGGCTGAATCCTACAGGTAATATTTAAACTAACTGCAATTTCATAGCAGACATTCTCCCATCCAGGAGACACGGTAAAGTACTGGTGGCAATAGATGCTTCTACCAATATCTCCTCCTGTCACTGCCACTCTGCACAGGAAAGGAGGGAGAAGCAGCCACCTTACTTCTATTTGACAATCATTCAACAGAACAGAGGTCCCTAATGACCCACATGTAAGTCTACTGGCTAAGAAAGCTCTAAGGTTGGAACTTCATTCAGCTATCAATATTTGTAAGAAAAAAATTTAAATATAACTTTGATATGAATTTTACTTTCATTAAGATACCTATAGGAAAGAAACTCTTCATTTTCTCTAACAGAATCGAAAGGTAAAAAATACTGGTGGGAGGAGTCTACCCATAGTTTCACAACTCCTCTCTCCCTGGGGAAGTAGCAGAATACGAGGAAGCCAGTACTGGTCAAGTGACTCTCAGGAGGGCCATTTTCCCTTGTTGTCTTTGAAAATACTTCATTTTCTTGGCATTTCAGGAGATTATAACATTATGTATTTCAGTTTCTGAGAGCGTTACTGATTTATTTCCTTACTCAAAACAATCCTTGTTTCCTACATTTCTGAAGATCTCAAGATCTGGACTACCACTGAAGAAATTCCCAGAAAGGTGAGTACTGTGGGTGTTTTTTGTAGAAAAGATCTGGATGCTTCCTTGAAATCCACAAAATCACAAGGATTAACTCAATATTGGTTTTTCAGGGCAGTTGGAGAAAGGGAGGAGGGCTGGCATCAACTACATTCAGAAAAGTGAAAACCACAGTTACTAATTCTAATTCTTTACTTCAAAGATAGTAGACATCTTTTATTCCACAACTAAAGCATGAATGAAGGAATATGCATTTTGACCACTGAAGATTTTAAAACAAATTCTATGAGTATATATTCTCTAAGTTTAGAAAGCTTAGTGGCTATTGGGGTCTGGGCAAAAGACAAGAAAATGATTTCATTCTTTTTATGGCTGCATAGTATTCCATGGTGTATATGTACAACACGGATGCAGCTGGAGAACATTATCTTAAATGAACTAATGCAGGAACAGAACACCATATACAGCATGTTCTCACTTATAAGGGGAAGCTAAACATTGAATTCATATGGACACAAGATAGGAACAGAAGACAAGAGGACTGCTTGAGAGGGAAAGATGGAAGTGTTATGTGGGTTGGAAGGTTACCTATCTGGTACTGTGCTCACTACCTTGATGATGGCATCATTGTACAATAAGCCTCAGCGACACACAATTTACTCATGTAACAAACCTGTACATGTACTCCCTGAACCCACAATGAAAGTAGAAGAAAAAATAAGGCAAGATAATGATATGCACCAAGTATCAGGAAATAATATTAAGTAAAAAATACATCTACATAGTGAGAACATATATGAGAACATACATGTGTGAGAATGTTTTGTAATTATTATATTATTCTATACATGCACACACGGTAGAAAATTTATCCATTTTGCCAACACAATTATTCAAATAAATGGTGTCAATATTTTCATAAGTATGTTTAACTTTTACATGAGCTCCATTCTACTATACCAGGTGTAAGAGGCAGTTTTTCAGACATTTTAAGGTTACTTCCTGCCCTCCTGAAAGTTAATTATTTTTCATTTTTCTAATGGCAAGGTATAGGGGAGAGGCAGAGAAGTCAATTTGAAATAGATTTATATTGTCCAAGTTTAGAATATTTAGAAGACTTTCTGTATAGCCTGGTGCAAAATTTCAGTGTGCTTGAACAGAATATGAGATTTTAAGTGATTTCAGAATTTATATATGTTAGATAAATATTGCTATCAATATTTATCTTGCTCAAATTTTAAGTGTTATACATTTTTTACCTTGTTCATTTAGTATTGAAAGATATAACATAAAATCTACCATACGATTGTATTTTCTTGTACTTCTCTCAAATTCATACATATTATCGATACGCTCACATGTATATATATTAATGTATATTAAGTGTGTATGTGATTATGTATACATTTCCATAAACATATACATATAAATACATATATTTGTGGCAGTGTGTGTGTAAATGTGTGTGTATATGAGGATAAATATATGATATGGCACTGTATTATTGTGAAGGAGTATACAGTAATGACAAATAATCCATATTGATTATTAAATTCATAATTTAAACTCTTGTATCTTCTCAGGAATTGAACCATTTATCATGTGGTATCTGATAATACTTTTTGTCTTAAGATGCTAACATAAATTATCTTCTAGCTCCTCCTTGCATGATAATTCAAATTTTTTTTTCACCATTAAGTGATCTTTTACTGATAAACATACATACAGAATTTTTAGGTCAAATTTGATAAAAGTTGTCATTTAACTAGTTAGACCTTTTACATATAAGTTAATAATTGACATATTTTGGCCTGTTTCTGCTATCTTCATTGCGATTCTAACACTTCTATATTCTCCTCCTTGTCTTTTTTTAACTTATATTTCCATCTCACCCTCTAAGACAATTACATTAATAAACTGTCATATTCTTTTTCTTTCCTCCCTCCACCATGTCGGTTCCCTTTCTGTTTCTCTTTTCTTTGATCAGGGCTTTCTTTTAAAAACATAGACACATATAATCAAGTTCATTTTTCTCTCTTACTGGTCTTTTGGCCTGCAGCTTTTTAAAAATTGTTAAATTTTCATTTGAAAAGTACTTCCAGAAATGTTTGCTGTGCATCTTTGTCTGGAAAAACTATGTAGGCCTTGAGCTTCAGAAAACAGTTTTTGTGGATCTTTTGTTTAAATATCATCTTGTTTAGATTGAAATTCTAGTTTTGAAATTATTTTTTTCCTCAAGACAAGGGGAATGCATTTCTTTTGTACCCAGGAAGCTGGATATGTTCTGAAATTCAGAACTTCGAGTTTTATAAAGACTATTTAATGCACATTTTCTAGAAAACCCAGTGTTATCAGGATCATTACTACAAAAGCAAAACCACTAATATTTCAGCAACAAAACATATGAACATTCGCATTGAAGTGGCGAAAATAAAAATCATACATGGCCTCCTGTAACCTCACATTTGGTTTCATTTTGCAAATAAATTGTGTTGTCACACTCACTAAACAAATCAAGACTTCCCATTTCTAAATTTTTTGTTTAGCAATTTATATGGGGTTTTGTACCAGCATTATATAAAAATGATCCCATTGTCCTGTTTCAAGGAGTTTTGTTGTTGAGAATCAGTTTCAATCTAATTTTTGGACATTTGCCGGTGATCTATTCTTCATTCCTGGAGGCTTATGGAGTATTTTTCTGTTTTTTTTTATATTCTTCTATTTCACTATATGTCCTTGTATTGACTTTTCCTTCATTCTATGCTTTTCAATCTGAGGACACTCAGGGTCTCTCAAAAAGAAAGCAATTAACAGCCCCAGAAATTTAAATATCTAAATTACACAAGAGGCACGCAAATACATGGTTTCTAAAATTAAAATATTTATTTTTGGTTTTGGTTTTGTGTGTGTGTGTGTGTTTTAGATGGAATTTTGCTCTTGTCACCGAGGCTGGAGTGCAGTGTCATGATCTCAGCTCACTGCAGCTTCCACGCCCCAGGTTTAAGTGATTATCCTGCCTTAGCCTCCCAAGCTGCTTGGAATACAGGCACCCACTACCACACCTGGCTAGCTTTTGTATTTTTAGTAGAGACGGGGTTTCACCATGTTGGCCAGGCTGGTCTCAAACTCCTGATCTCAGGTGACCCTCCTGCCTCGACCTCCCAATGTGCTGTGTTAATTTGAAAAGAAATACAAATCCATACCATGCTCTGAGTTTCATCATGTGCTAAAGTGCACAGGTGCTAAAGAGGAGTAACACTCTGTCCATAAGGGGACTCTGAAAATTTCTAGAAGAAAAACCCTCAGTTGAATCTTAAAGGTTGTATGGGAGGTAGACAGAGAGAGGAATGTGGGAATGGCTTTCCAAGCAATGAGAAGAGAATTAGCAAAGTCATGAAACATGAAAATGCATGGTATGTTTTATACTTCTGAAATGTAAGATATAAGGAACACACAAGGGCCACAGGTAAAAACGAATGCAGATTACTCACAGCCTTCTAAAATAATACAAGCAGCAAGGAATTGTTGAAAAGAAAATGGGCAAATATTGAAAGATGTCAGTGGGATAAAAATGTAGTTTATAGAGAGAAATATGGTTCTGTGAAATGAAAATGTATTAGACAAATCAAGTAACTATTGAAATACTTCCAGCCAATAAATCCTGTGTTCCTGCAATACAGAAAATGTAGATGTTCAGGAAATTGATAGTTTTATGCGCACAGAGGGCAAACAGGGCAAGGAAGACGATACTAATGATAGTTTACTAGGAAAGAGTTAAGGAGAATAGGGTCAGTGCCCAAGAATGAAACTGTAGTGTTGTGGCACAAAGCTATTCATACAAGGTGGGAGGCTGCAGCGTATTTACACATAGGACACTTCAGTTGTAGTGGTGCTAGTATGGGAAGATTTAAGAAACAACAGGCAGGCTTTGGTGAGTAGACTTCAGTCTCGATAAAGGATGGGAAGAGAAAACAAAGACTTTGACACTGCACAGCCCATACTCTAAACACTAAGACTACTGCTTGTTCTCAGACCTCCCTCTAACACCTGGACCCAACTTAACTATCCTATTCAATGGGGAAAATTACTTAAACATTCCTAAAGCAGCAGTTCACTCAATTTCTATGGTAACACATTTGGTCATTAAGTCCTTCTTTATCACACATATTCATGAACAACTCTTCCATATGGCCATTCAACTCGCATAGGCATACATCTTCTATTAAATTGTCTGTATACATGTGTAACACTGTATGACATTTTTCTCTTGCAGGCTCACTTGTATCTTTAGAAATGGCAAACAGCTACAAGACAATTGTTCTACTAAAAGGATTAGAGGTCATCAATGATTATCATTTCAGAATGGTTAAGTCCTTACTGAGCAACGATTTAAAACTTAATTCAAAAATGAGAGACGAATATGACAAAATTCAGATTGCTGACTTGATGGAAGAAAAATTCCCAGGTGATGCTGGTTTGGGCAGACTAATAGAAATCTTCAAAGAAATACCAACACTTGGCAACCTTGCTGAAACTCTTAAAAAAGAAAAGCTAAAAGGTAATTGGGAAGAAGGAACACCTACTCCCTGCAACCATCCCCAAATCCTTCCCAACCTTGATTAGAATGCCACTTTAGTCAGCTAATACATCCTTTTCTCAATTTGTGACTCATCAGTCATGACAACTTGCGGCATGCCATTACTAATGTGGATTGACACATATTGGAGTTGAGATGCAGTAAAAGAACAAAAAGGAGAGGGAATTGAAGAGAGATTGTGACTTCCAGTACATTCAAAAGATTATATAATGACTAGCCAGGTGTGGTGGGCTTGTAATCCCAGCTACTCCGGAGGTTGAAGCCAGAGAATCACTTGAGCCCAGGAGGCGGAGGCTGCAGTGAGCCGAGATCGCACCATTGCACTCCAGCCTGGGCAACAAGAGTGAAACTCCACTCCCCCACCACCAAAAAAAGAGAAAAGATTTGATAATGACAAAATAAAATTATAAAAATTGTTGTTTATATCTAAGATATGTACATTTAGCCAAGTAACGTGTCTGAGAATATTCAACACATCATCATCCTTTATAATACAAAAGATAACACAGAATTTAAGTATAAGCATCATTCTCGGAAGTATGAAGACCTCCCCTCTTGTCATATCACCGAGTTAAAATACTTAAAACAAAGTCAAAACTCACCATATCTCACAAACCTCTATAACATCTCTCATTGGTTTCTGTACTTTAAATAGATTATCTGGAGGATGTGACTAAGTAGTCAGCATCCTGAGAACCTTAAATTTTAAAAGGAAATGATAGGAGAACAGGATTGGGGAAAGGTTTCACTGAGTTCAGAGGACAGGGAGAATGTACTCACCGCACAGGGGAAGAGCGATGAAAACGCCGGGGAGTGTGAGTCAGCGCCTGTGCCCTGGTTTCTGCCGGCCTCCTGGAAGCCAGACTAAGCTAAGGCGGTGGGGGTAGACTAAACCACACCTGAACTCTCCATCAGGTGCTAAGAGCACGTAGTATTTGAACTGCTTCAGCTGTCCCGGATCATCTGCTCTGGGTTTATACATCTTCCTTTTTTCTTCATTAGCTGTGAATAAAGTTGAATCTTTTTCAGTCAAAGGAAAAACCCCATCTAAGAAGCAGCAGCAGAATGAAGTGGATCCTGCTACACCTGAATCCACTCCAAGCAACATTCTCACAGCTGAAGGAGCAGAGGAGACTCCTGGAGCTCAGGTAAGCTTCAGGAAGAGGAGCCGGCTTCAAGTCTCACTGTGGAAGCTCTGCTCAATCTCTCCAGCAGGCAGTTATTTCTTTCTATGTTTCCCATCAAGTTTCAGATGTATCAAATACATAATAATTGATCATCTTTCTGTGAAGCAACAAGTTAACCACTTTATTAAATGTAAATTATGTAAAATATTATATTTTCATCCCCAATAGAGGATGTTAACTTGAGAGTCAAATAAAAAAAGTTTGCCCATGTTTGCAAAAACATGGTTTTTTGTCTGCAAGTCAGCACATCCCAAAACACAAGTAATTAAGGAGTGATGTGTGTTACTTTCTCTGCTTCCTTTTTTAAATGGAACCATCTGCCCTGTTCTTTCAATTGGCCTGGGGATGTACAGCACCCAGTTAAGTTTCCAAGAAACGTAATTTACATGTAATAAACATACTACCTTGTAATGAAAATGTGCTCTGCCTCATTTGACACTTAAAATAATTAACAAAGAAATAACTACTTGTAGAAAAGAAAAAACTCATCTGAAGAAGAGACTGGAACCAAAAGGAGTAAGATGGCCAAGGAGCAGACTCAGCCTCCCTGTCCCACAGAAGCCGGCATGTCCACAGCCAGGAGCCATTCCCCACCTCCCCAGCCCTCATCATCAACTCCATCCAACACTTCCTCAGCTAAGGTATTCTCTTCCTGGTCTGCTTTTAATTCATTTTCTTCAACCTAAAATGTAGGAATCCGTTTTCATCTTCTATTGAAAAATGTCATCGATAGGCCAGTAAATCAAATGTATAGGCTGAGAATTTATTCCATTTTAACATTTTGCTTTCACAGTGATACTTTACGAACTTGACATTGTAAAGTTTATTCTCCGAAGGTTCATTGCCGAGTTAAAAGCGAGGAAACTGAGGCCAGCACAAGAAAATTAGATGCCAACTTACTCAGCTCCTGGGCGAGATTCCACGATCCCACAGAGGGGCCAGGGAAGTCACAGCTGATTCCTCTCAGGAGTGGGGTTTTATAGGGAGTGAAGGCGTTCAATTGGATTTGGAGAAACAGGATGTGGACAGCGGGAGCTGCTATTGGTAGGTAGGTGGGACTTCCGGTGAGCGGGCTATGTGCTGAGTGCAGAGGATGGCCAAGGCGTTCTAGGTGTCGAGTGCAGAGGGGATTTCCAAGGCGGAGCTAGATGATTGGCATCCAAGTGCAGACGGGATTTCCAAGGCGGAGCTAGATGATTGGCATCTGAGTACGGACGGGATTTCCAAGGCGGAGCTAGATGATTGGCATCCGAGTGCAGAAGGGATTTCCAAGGCGGAGCTAGATGATTGGCATCTGAGTACGGACGGGATTTCCAAGGCGGAGCTAGATGATTGGCATCCGAGTGCAGAAGGGATTTCCAAGGCGGAGCTAGATGATTGGCATCCGAGTGCAGAAGGGATTTCCAAGGCGGAGCTAGATGATTGGCATCCTAGTGCAGAGGGGATTTCCAAGTGGGGAGGGAGATGGGCGTGTCTGGACTCACGGCGAGGCAACCAGCCTTATGGACATTATCTCTGACTTCAGGAAGTTTTCTGTCCTGTGTTGTTTGGGGAACAGAGAGAGAGCTGTAGAATCCGGAACTTTCAGCAGTGGACTCACCGTCCACTGCCCCCATCTGTTTCACACCTTTTCCCTTTGCTCACTAATTCTTTCAAGTTTCTTTGACATACACCATGCTCCTTTTTACTTTAGGATTTTCACACACCATATTTCTTTCGCCTTAAACCTCTTACCTGGCCAACCCTATCTATCCTCTGGATCCCAATATTGTGATCTTATCCTCAGGGAATCCTCAGTTAGACCCCTGTAACTTAGGTTAAACCTTCATGATGTTCTGTTTCCGAGAAACTTCTTTCTTTTCTACTATTTATAACAACTGAAGTTAGTGTTTATCTTTTCCACCTACTAAAAGTAGTTCCAAGATTAAGGCTATTTTGTTTTCTTGTTTGTTTGTTTGTTTGTTTGTTTTTTGAGACGGAGTTTCGCTCTTGTTACCCAGGCTGGAGTGCAGTGGCCCGATCTCGGCTCATTGCAACCTCCGCCTCCTGGGTTCAGGCAATTCTCCTGCCTCAGCCTCCTAAGTAGCTGGGATTACAGGCACGTGCCACCATGCCCAGCTAATTTTTTGTATTTTTAGTAGAGATGGGGTTTCATGATGTTGACCAGTACGGTCTCGATCTCTTGACCTCGTTATTCACCCACCTCGGCCTCCCAAAGTGCTGGGATTACAGGCTTGAGCCACCGCGCCCGGCAAGGCTATTTTGTAATTCTGTGGACCACTGTATTCCAGGGCCTCCTTCAGTGTCTGCCTCATGGGAAGCTCCCAATAAACATCTTTCCTCAATAAAAAAATGTAAACCATGTTCTAAGATATGAACCACTAGAGCTTAGCAAAGGACAAATAAACGTCATCTGACTCAGTCGAAGTACCTATTGTGAGGCCAAAAGGATGGAATAGGGAAGAGAGCTCAGGAGTTTGGGAAAATGTAGGCAGACAGAAGACCATACACTAAGACTTGCAAATTAAAGAAAGTAAACTACAATTTATAGTTGCATGATTCTGATAATCCTTATACTGTTGTACTCATCTCAGATTTGGACAGGTCAGCCTTTACTTTTACACTATCAGGGACAGTCTAAAATCTAATTGAAACTCTCATGAGCTTTACTACAAAAATGAATGTTCTGCCAGGCACGGTGGCTCATGCCTGTAATCCCAGCACTTTGGGAGGCCGAGACGGGTGGATCTCGAGGTCAAGAGATCGAGACCATCCTGGTCAACATAGTGAAACCCCGTCTCTACTAAAAATACAAAAAATTAGCTGGGCATGGTGGCACATGCCTGTAATCCCAGCTACTCAGGAGGCTGAGGCAGAAGACTTGCCTGAACCCAGGAGACGGAGGTTGTGGTGAGCTGAGGTCATGCCATTGCACTCCAGCCTGGGTAACAAGAGCGAAACTGTCTCAAAAAAAAAAAAAAAAAAAAAAAAAGAATGTTCTATATTTCTGATACACAATGGAGGTGATCAACTATGATGGGCAACAGGGACAACAGGTGATGAAACCACACCAGCCGTAATTGGAACATGCTGTATTACCTTTAACCTTTCATTAGATTTTGTATTAACATAAGACTATTTCAGAAAAAAAGGAATAAATGTAGACAAATAAGATTAAACTTAATTTAATTTATGTGAAATTCTAGCATCCGTAACATGCCACATTTCTCTATATACCCTCTCATATTTACTTCTACGTATATACGTATTTTTTTAGAAAATAGCATCAGACAATGTATTGTCCTATTATGTCTCTCTGAGTGGTTATATGATCCCCTTCATGCACGTACTGGGTTCATGTGGCTCCTTATGAGGTTGCATATCAGTTACTACTAATATTCTCATGGATGAGTCTACTGTTAATGATTAGCTTGCATTGGGAAAGGACTTTTCTATGTTAGGCTGAATGGGTCACACTGATAAAAAGTCAGATCCAATAAAGTCCAATCACTCACAAATGATCGCTGTGTATAGTAGTCCAGGTCAGACCAGTCCAGGAGCTGCTGGTTTGTGGAGGAGGCCTACCTGTTCCTCCAAAACTTTTTCTTGAAATTGAACTACTTCTCCTTCATTAATGTGTTCTGCTGCAATTTAAGGAAACCTGGGTGTTATAGAAAAAGGATATTAAAGACAATCCACTGTCATCCTTGGTTTTCTGTCAGCATGCTTCCTCCTAGAGCCCTGACATTGAGGAAGGGTGCAGTGGTGGAAATGACACTCTGCAGAGTGTCTGTAGCCTGAACCTACCGAGATGAGGGTATTCTGAGGGGTTGAGCCCACAGGTGTTATCACCTGCTTTAACAGTAATTATGAGTTGTCCTCTAAAAATTGCCCTGTCTACGTTGGTAATAACCTTCCTGTTGTATGTGGTCTCTGGTAGACACCCCTTACCATTTTCTGTGCTATTCAATTGTATTTCATCTATTTTTATGTTCTGGCAATTTAAGCTGGTAAGAATAAAACTGCAATTCATTATTTTATCCTAAAATTTATTTTAAATAATTTCATGATAATCGGCTCAGCATCCATTTGTCTTATGTTGCTATTATATGTTACATTTTAAGGATTATTCTGTTTAGAGAAAAGTCTTTTTCTTTTACCACGTGGTCTCCTATATTACTTCCTCTGGCTATTAGACTACTTCAGGATATCCTCTCCTTCTCTGTATCCAGCTCTACACATCTATGACGTTTTGGGGCCCAAAGTTGCAACTTGAGGTCATTGAAGAGCAGTTCTGTATTTCTCACTCAAAAATTTGTTTTTTTTTTATATTTCTTTTTTACCAGGCACAAAGCCTAAGACCATTGGTCAGGCGTCAGGCAACTGCCAGAAAAAATATTTGCCCAAAAGACCCAATGATGGTGATGGTACTAAATGCAACAAAGATATTTAAATATGAATCCTCACAAAACAAGCGAAGAAGAATGTTTCATGCTACAGTGGTTACGCAGACAGAGTTCTTTCATGTGAAGGTTTTAAACATCAACTTGAAGAGGAAATTCACTAAAAAGAGAATCATCATTATATCAAATTATTCTAAATATAATAGTCTCCTAGAGGTGAATGAAGCCTCTTCTGTATTTGAAGCTGGTCCTGACCAAACATTTCAGGTTCCAAAGGACATCATCAAAAGAGCAAGAAAAACTCCAAAGATCAATATGCTTCACAAACAAGCTTCAGGAGACATTGTATATGGATTATTTACGCTACATGACGTAAGGCATCAAAGTTGTTTTGTTGCATTTTCTACAAAAACACTTGAAATTAAGAGCCCTGATGTACTAAATGGAACTTTGCATATTTACTTAACATTAGAACTCAGGACTCTCTCAAAACGACAATTACATAAAGTCTTCAGGGTTAAGATCAAGATTAGGAAACCTATCAATGTTCTCCTTCCAATGTTTTTCTTTCCAAAATGTCACCCTGACGTTCTTTAGTAAAGCATTCACTGAGAAACCGTGAGACTTCATCGGCTACGACTATCTATTCTGAGCCATAATGATCAAGAATAGTGAAGGATCTAACACTAAATTTATTTCTTTGATAATAATCTTAGTTGTAGCAAAAATCATATTACTTTCATTTTGAATGAAGTATTGTCCTTTGAGGCTTGAGTTCCAGTTTTGACAGTCAGGGCAACAAATGAATTGACTGTTCATACCTGGAAATCAAATGCAGAAAACAGGTAGGACAACGTTCAGACCAAATGAAACTCATTCAGCAAAAAGTATTGAACAACTGAGAAATAGAATTCGGGTGATACTTGGAAAATCAGGTAATCTGTACTTGAATATTAGACACGTCATGTCACCGAAAAAAAAAGAGCAGAATAATTTTTCTAATATGTTACTGTCAAAATTCATGAAACTAGTTAGCATGAGAGATTCCAACTCAGAAAACCATCTATACCTGGCTACTGATGCCAATAATTTCTTAGATGACTGATAGCTCACAACCCTTTGTATTTATTTTCTAGAACAATCTCTTATTTTACCAGCATTGCTTTCTGTACACACTCTTAAGTTATTCTTAGAAATACATATCTAGGCCGGGTGTGGTGGCTCATGCCTGTAATCCAAGCACTTTGGAGGCCAAGGTGGGCTGATCACCTGAGGTCAGGAGTTCAAGACCAGCCTGACCAACATGGTGAAACCCCGTCTTTAAAAAAAACAATTAAAAAACAAAAAAGAAATACATATCTAGAATGATGGGTAATAGCCTTGATGAGCAAGAGATTGGAACATTTGAGCTTAAAGACCTGAGTTCAGATGGAAGCAGACATTGAAAGAGATTCAGTACACAGAGAAAGTCAAAAAAGTAATTAGATAGTTAATAGAAGCTTGCTTTTTATTATAGATTCCTCTTAACATGGTGAATGATGAGTTGTAACAGATGCTTATTCTTTTTGCATAGGGGCAGAGGCCAAATAACCCTACCAGAGTTCAGGTTCCTTTGTATCAAGGTGCTTTGGGAAGCATAGCTGTCCTAGAAATGAAAGAAGCTGAAATTGAGAAGATAACCCATTGCTCTAGAACGGTCATAGAAATACTTAGAATATTAAGGACTTAAACAAAAAGAGTATCAAGGGAGAGCCCTGTGAGATGGTCTAAACTAAGGCATATGTATTGAATGTTGATATTGTACTAGGAGTTGCTGTATTGCTTCTTGTTTTTAATCTGTTACAAAAGACTTTCCTTTATGTATGATAGTTACTAAGTTCTCACCAACATGATATTAATTTTTTGTTGCAGAAAAATATAAAGAGGAAGGTGACAATCTATGAAATTCTGGATGAAACAGGGAGTATGAATGTAGTAGGAAAAGGAGAATGTCACAATATCTCCTGTGAAAAAGGAGATAAGCTTCAACTCTTCTGCTTTCGACTGAGAAAGCGGAAAGATGAGTTACAACTGATGTCAGAAATGCATAGTTTCATCCAGGTGAGAAATAGAGACAGAAATGTTAGTTTTCCAAAGATAAAAATCATCTGCTTTAAGTTTTAGGAAATCATATTTCTGTTGTTTTACACTTAAAATTCTTCAGAGTACATGAGAAACCAAATGATGCCCTTGCACTTACATTTTAAATGGAGAAAATTATTAAAATATATTGAGAGAATGACATTATCGACTTCGAAAGAACATGAAACTTGTGCTAAATACTAAAATATTTGAAGAAATAAGGAAGGCACAGGCCTAATTTAATTAGTGATCAAAAGCAAGTTCTTTGCAGTAAGACAGAGTTGGTATATATCTTGCTCATGAGTTGCATGATATTGGAGAAATAGCTTAAATGTTCCTCCTGAGATTGGTTTGAAAATTAAATGAGATCGTGGATATATAGTTCATATCCCATTACCTTCCTTGTACATTGTGACAAATCAGTATGCACTAGATACTACTGCTGTTAACAAGGTAAAGACAAACACTGGAAAGATTTCAGGCAGAAAAAATGTTGCATACAACTATTAAAAGTGAGAAACAGCATAGTGAGTTCTGTACAACTTTGGAATATGTGGAAATGTGTCAGAAACTCACGCAAGACAGGTAACAAGCAGACCTCTTCTCATCTGTCTTCTGCCATAAAGAAAAAAATGGAGTTCATTTTTTAAAAATAAGTAAATAAAGATTTTATTTTACTAAGAATGTTAGAACATTTTACATTTTAGCAAAAAAATATGTTGGCAGTTGTCTGAAGGAATACATTAGATAGAGGCAATGTTCAGAGGTAATGACATCTATTAGAATGTAATAAAGGATGATATTCTCAGATATTTAAAGATGTTGTACGTTCCCTGATATTAAAAAACACTAAACAAAAAAAAATGAATACTTTCAGATACGGAAGAAAACAAAGCAGAGAAGCCATGACTCCAGCAGCATGGCACTAAGCCAGGAGCAGAGTCAGCTTCCAAAACCTTCAGAGGCTGGCACAACCCTCCCACTTGAATGCCATCTCATCAAGACTCTTCAAGGGCTGTCAACAACCCCATCTAGCAGTTCCTTTACCAAGGTACAATTTCCTGGGTCCCATGCCTCATATCTACCAAACATAAATTGCAAGGATTATTAGACTGTTGAAGGAGTTTCTCTTCTCATCCCTAACTGTGTACAATCTCTAGATGAAATTAAATCACCCATTTATTTACTGACTGTATACAGTGAGATACCACCACATTATTGTCTTTGATATCTAAGATATTTATTTGTGCAATGATTGCTGACCTCAAGAGGGTTAGTATCTTATGTTGCTCTACCTATAGAGACGGGGAGGGTGAATGGCCAGACAAGCAGAGATGAAGACAAAGAGTGTGTTATGCCCCACATTCCAGTTTCTTTCACACCTTTCCCCTTTGCTTACTGGTATTATTTCAGGATTTATTTTCAGCATTCCAAGTTGAAATAAATATTTCAAGTATACATTTTAAAACATGCTATTTTAGTTTTGGGAATCCACTTCTTCCATCCCATCACTGGCAGGAATCTCCTTAAATTTCAGATGCCAGCTTAAATATTTTCCTTTGGCAAGTCCTCAATAATATGAGATAGTGGAACTGATGAGTCCTTCTATTCTTTGCTTTTACTCCTGTCAATGAGAGTAAATTACTAATTTCACGGAAGTGAACAGAAAGGCTTATGATGTAAGATGTTTCCCATACTTACTTGATTTGGGGTTTCCTGTAATCCCAGCTACTCAGGAGGCTGAGACAGGGAATTGCTTGAACCCGGGAGGCGGAGATTGCAGTGAGCCTAGATCATGCCACTGCATTCCAGCCTGGGTGACAGAACAAGACTCTGTCTCAAAAAAAAAAAAAAAAAAGGATAAGATAAAATATTTATCATGTGTTGACTCATATTGAAACTTATTAACCAGAAAAAAAATCTATTTTCTTCCCAACAACTAAGGACACAACTACTCAAACTTCTGACATCAAACTCCTAATGAATTCAGCCCCAGAGCAGAAGCAGCCTCAGCAATTTGGGTTTCCCCCCAATCAAGGAAGTATGGGAAACATCTATAGCACATGATATATTTGTGGAACAGACAAAAACTACAAGTCCCAGCACAGAACATGGAACAACAATGACAATAATTATATTTCGACGATTTGAGCACTTAACTAGGTGTTGGTTCTTAAATGTTGTTCCTGATGTACATTATCTCATTCCTTCTTCATAACTATCAAGAGAACGCTACTTTCTATCCCAATTCACATAGAACAAAATAGACATATACAGACATTAAAAATCTTCCTCAAGTTCTCAAAGACAGTGCTAGAGTCAGGATTCATATTCAGCCCTATTGAAATGTAAAACTTGAACAATTTATGATCACATGTGGCTTTAGATTAGAAGTCGAGATATACTAATGTCAGCAATTTATTTTAAAAATTTCGGAATTAACAGTGTCATGTAATGGGTTTGCCTTCTCAAAAATAATGAGGTAGCCAGAGGAATAAAGTACCTTGTCATACAGAAGCCACTCTGCAGAATTAGAATCCTTTCATTCTTCTCTCTAACAGAGTGCTTTTTATATATTAGATAATCAAATTCTAGAAGTGGTAGAACTATGGAAATTAACATGTTATTAATGAATGGTAAAAATCAGTGAAAATAGAGAAAATTATATGATTGAGAAGAACTATGTCCTTGACTTCGGGGAAAAAATTTAAAAAAAACATTTATTCCAAATGCTAAAGTAGATTGTTAAGTATTTCTAAATATGATTGACAGCCCAGAGAATTCTGGTTAACTGATGCAGACTACAAAACAGCAGAATTCTGCCTCTGGAATTGTGGATTTGAAAGAATCTTTCCAGCACAGTGATGGGATAGATAGATGGATGGATGGATGGATGGATGGATGGATGGATGGATGGATAGATAGATAGATAATAGATAGATAGATAGAGCTGGATTTCCTACAATCTGAAGAACAGACAACAGGTACCCATTTGTGTATTTCCTTGACTAGAAAGACTTAGATAATAAACACTCATCAGACATTTTCAGGGCGAAGTTTGTAATTCTGGTTTCTGTGTATGCAGAAGAGGAGATTTAGGGAATTTTTTTTTTTTACATTTATACAGATATTCCAGGGAACATTTGCACAGAGAGGATCCTGTTAAAATGGATAAAATAGGCAGAGCATGGTGGCTCACACCTTTAATCCCAGCACTTTGGGAGGCCAAGGCAGGTGGATCACGAGGTCAAGAGTTCAAGACCAGTCTGGCCAAGATGGTGAAACCCTGTCTCTACTAAAAATACAAAAATTAGTGGGGGCATGGTGGAGGGCACCTGTAATCCCAGCTACTCAGGAGGCTGAGACAGGGAATTGCTTGAACCTGGGAGGTGGAGGTTGCAGTGAGCCTAGATTACGCCACTGCACTCCAGCCTGGGTGACAGAGCAAGACTCTGTCTCAAAAAAAAAAAAAAAAAAAGGATAAAATAAAATATTTATCATGTTTTGACTCATATTGAAAATTATTAACCAGAAAAAAATAATCTATTTTCTTCCCAACTAAGGATACAACTACTCAAACTTCTGCCCCATCCTCGGCCAATTGCACTGGTGAATAGCAGCTCCTTATTTCTCTGGGGTGGACCACCAAGAGACAAGTGAAAGGCCCCCTGCCATAACTCTTGCTAAGGTTCCTTCTCCTGCAGCCTCCAAGCTGGAGAGGAAACATAGAGTCTGAGCTCATCCCAGAGCTACAGTGTGCCAAGCCAAGATTCGCAGCCGGTACGCGAGTGAGAAAGAAGCCCACACCTTCAGAGCACTGAGAGGGAGCATGTTGTGTCTTAGATGACAGGCACTGCAGTATGTCACTTTGGATCCTTTTTTAAATAATCTTCAAATCTAAGTAATAAGGCAATCATCCCATTTTTTGGATGAGAAAACTGATAGTATCTTCTCAAAAGTGGATAGTCTGCATAGGTAAACTTCAGTCATCAGAGACCATCTAACTCTGAACCATCCTCAGATGTCACAGAAAACATCACAAACCCTATCTGGTAGTTCCTTAACCAAAGCACCAGCTTCCTGTTGCCATTCTTTGTGCCTCCCTTTGTTATAATTGAAGGGATAATCAGTATCTTGACAAAGCCTTTTAATCAAATACAGTTGTTTTTATTTTACTGTATTTCTCATTCATTTATTAAGCATATAATCAGAGATGCTACTAGATTCTAAGATTGTTATGATTTACAAGGAATATACTGATACAATCATTCCTGACCAGTGGAAGAGAGTACACAAAAATGAAGAGAGAGATACAAGAGTGTGTTCCTCTCTGACATTTCATTGTTCATTCACAGCTTTCCCCCTTGCTTCAGAACCATAATTCAGTTTATTTTCAACATTCTTACTCTTTCCTACATGGGTTGTTTCATATATGGTACTCTCTTTGTCTGGAATCTTTTTTCTCCTCTGCCTTCACTGGCCCTTATATATTTCTGGGCCAGCCTAAAACTGTCCTCAAGCAAGACCTCCTGATAACCCCCTTCAAAAATAAAACAGATCATCTCTTTGTGTCCTTCACATATCCATTTATTTCCTTTACAATATTTGTCACAACAGTAATGACAGTATATTCTCAACCCTGTAAGTAAGCTGAGATTATATATACTACCTGCACAGGAAAGAGAAAACAAGGGTGTATGAATGAGTTTAGATCCATGTGTATCAAATCCTATTCCACACTGCATTTTATTTACCAGTGAGTGGGACTGTGTAGTCACCTGCCCCTGTGCCACATAATCCTCTATCAGCAGCAAACGAGAAGTCAACTTACAGAAAGAAAAGGGGAGTATTAAGTCATTATTCTCTTATCTAGTGTTTCACCCAAGCCCCAGGATGCACAATGACCCAGTCCTAGAGATGACTCCCTCACACCTGTGAGTTGAAGACAGACCTACTCTTTACAGTGCTCCATAGGTGATTAGATTTTTGTTTATTATTTTGTTATTTTTACCGAAAGTTCCTATTTTCCTGAAGAGTGTCTGTAGATTTTACCTGGTGGATCAGTAAACCGGCAGTGTGTTTTTGTCATCTTGGCAGAAGTGGTCTCAAATAAACCCCATGCCTAATCATTGCCAGCTCAGATCTGCGTTCTCTTTTACTGTAATGCTGGTTTCTGTGTATGCTGAAATGTAGGTTAAGAAAACTAAATGTATGCCAGCATCCAAAGAGATGAGCAGAGGGAGGAGTCTATAAAAAGGGATTTTGGGAAATATACACACACACATACATATGTATTACATCCAACTTGTATAGAAAAATATTAAGCAGAAAAGAAATTTCTTTCTGTCATAAAGTGGAAGACTAAATTACCCAAATTTATGACTCCAAAAGGATGAAGCCCACCCAGGAGCACAGTTATTGTCTGAGATCCATAGAACCAACCCACCAACTGTGGCCGGTCCTGTTTCTTCTGATACTCCACCAACCCCATCCAGCAGTTCCTTAAATAAGGTACCACCTTTCTGTTTCCATTCTTGTACCTCTAAAACATAATTGTAGTGGTAATCAGAGTCTTCAAAAAGATTCTAATTTAATCTCTGACTATATATTATTATTTTATTACATTTCTCATTCACTTATCAATATATAATTGGACACGCCACCGGATTCTAAGTCCTCCAATATCACAAAATATGCATTTATGAAATCATTTCTATCTTCAAGAAGATGATTGTTTTTCATTAGTGCAAATGTAGTAGTGTATGTGGGGAAGTATCCAGACAAAGAGAGATGAATACAACACTATGTTTGTACCTGCCATTCTAATTTCCTTTCCCAATTTTCCATTATGACAAATGACCATATCTTAAGGTTGATATTTAAAATCCCTATTTCTGTGCCGGGCGTGGTGGCTCAAGCCTGTAATCCCAGCACTTTGGGAGGCCGAGGCGGGTGGATCACGAGGTCAAGAGATCGAGACCATCCTGGTCAACATGGTGAAACCCCGTCTCTACTAAAAATACTAAAACTTAGCTGGGCATGGTGGCGGGTGCCTGTAATCCCAGCTACTCAGGAGGCTGAGGCAGGAGAATTGCCTGAACCCAGGAGGCGGAGGTTGCGGTGAGCCGAGATCGCACCATTGCACTCCAGCCTGGGCAACAAGAGCGAAACTCCGTCTCAAAAAAAAAAAAAAAAAATCCCTATTTCTTTCCATAGCTGATGTTTTGACATAAGCTACTTCCTTCGTTTAGAATCCTTGACTCTCATCTCTTCATTTGCCCCAATATATTTCTGGGTCAACCAAGATCCCCCTTCCTCAGAAAAAACTTCACTGATGTCCTCCTCCTACTATAGAACACATCATGCCAAGGTGTCCTGAATACGTCTCTTTATTTTATTTAGAGCATTTATTAAAATTCTGATAATAGAGTGTTCTTTAACCATACTTGATAATAACTTCAGATTATAGATTTCTTGTCCAGAACATCAGACAAAGGTAAACTAATGAATTTATATCTGAGTGTTACAATTAAATCCAAGACTGCTTTTGGCCATGATATGACCAGTGGAGTCACCTCCACCTACAGAAGAGTAGACTGTGATCTACAGTGAGATGGAAGGTAACTGAAGAGAAAGGCAAGAGGAGAATCATGTCACTACTCTTTTAGTTGAAGACATGTAACCACACAGATTAATTGAAGACAGATTACCTGTATACAGGGGTTCTCAATTGGTGGTAGTTTTTTGGTTTGTTTATGTTTCTGTTGTTTTTGATAAGCCCAAGAATTCCATTTTCCTCAATAAATTCTACATCTTTAAATGAGAGTCAAAGCTAACTAACATGTCCTCCTTAGCCATCTTGGCTTAGGTGACCATGGATGGAACTCGTGTGTAGTCATTACCAGCTCAGATCCACTTTTCTGTCACTTCATAGACATAATTCGACATCCCAGGACAACATTCTGGGAAATAACTTATTTCTCCTACATTCTGGCTTTGAAGGGACTACATAAAGTTTTCTTAGGTTCTACCATTTTAAGTAGGCATTAATGTCTGTTTCCATAGCAATTAGATTTATTTGACTGCATCTAACCTCCCTTAGCCCAGGAATCCCAGCTAGGGTCCTATGTCTGCTATACCTAACCACTCATATGGCCAATTCTTCTTTGATATCTAGCACTTCCACAGGAGGCCTGGAAAATATGTCTGATTACTTCCTCTGTGATTCACTAGCTCTGAAAGAAATCCTTGCTTTTATATATCTTAGGTCATCCCTAAGTGATTGTTTGTATTTAATAATATGGTTGTTCTATGCTTTTGGATTTTTTTTTTTTTTTTGAGACAGAGTTTCGCTCCTGTTACCCAGGCTGGAGTGCAATGGCGCGATCTCGGCTCACCGCAACCTCCACCTCCTGGGTTCAGGCAATTCTCCAGCCTCAGCTTCCTGAGTAGCTGGGATTACAGGCATGCACCACCATGCCCAGCTAATTTTTTTGTATTTTTAGCAGAGACGGGGTTTCACCATGTTGACCAGGATGGTCTCGATCTCTCGACCTCGTGATCCACCCCTCCTCGGCCTCCCAAAGTGCTGGGATCACAGGCTTGAGCCACCGCGCCCGGCTGGATTTTTTTTTTTTTTTATGGAGTTTCGCTCTTGTTACCCAGGCTGGAGTGCAACGGTGCGAACTCAGCTCACCACAACCTCCATCTCCTGGGTTCAAGCAATTCTCCTGCCTCAGCCTCCCGAGAAGCTGGGACTACAGGCATGCGCCACCATGCCCAGCTAATTTTTGTATTTTTAGTAGAGACGGGGTTTCACCATGTTGACCAGGATGATCTTGATCTCTTGACCTTGTGATCCGTCCGTCTCGGCCTCCCAAAGTCCTGGGATTACAGGCATGAGCCACCGCGCCTGGCCTATGCTTTTGGATTTAAAGCCAAAAGCAGACTATTCTTATGTTTCATCTTTTGTCGTGACTCTCCTAAATCAAAGAGCACAGAATGGTTGGGAAAACTATAAATAGAGATATTACTGGCTTAGAATTAATACCTGGGAAAGAAAGAAGTTTATTAGTTTTATTCCAATCACTACAACTTTATCTGGGTTTTCCACAAGAGGGTCAACATAAATCATGATACATTGCTGGATCAGGCAGACACATAAACCATGCATAGTATTTGAAATAACAATGAAAATAATGATATTTTTCTAACTGAGCATCTACTGGGTAAAGGGTAGAAGTAAAAGCTATGATTTTATGTACATGATTGCATTTATTCTTCATGAGCACAGTAGGAAGACCACACTCCAGGGAAAAAAAATGTGTTCTGCTTTTTTAGACAAGTTAAATTTGAGATTCCAACAGGACATCTAAGAATTATCCATCTGATACGATAGAGCTTGAACTTGGACAATTTTCGCTGGGCCTTTTACTGAATTACATCAGTATAGACATAGTTGTTAAAACAGTGGATGTAGCTGAGAGTATCTGATAGAATAGAAATAATAATGCCACTCATTTACTGAGTATGCAGAATGATTCAGACTCTTCTAAGGATTTTTTTCAATAAGTATCTTCATTAATCTTTCACAGTCCGATTGTTTCATGTATTAACTCATTTAATTCTTTGTGGTACACAATGAGCAGAAGAAAGAGTTAAATTTGAGGATGGTCAACATAGCTCATAACAGTCCTGTATTACCAAGGATGTCCCTAACCAAATCAGAACACAAAGATACCCTCTTTCATGAGATACATATACTGGTCAACACAGAGAAGGTTGGATCTACATGACAAAGTTCACGCTGTTTGTCACATATATTCATGTGGGATTCTTGGAATAAAGGCTAATAATGGAATGCAAAAAGATCAGAACAAAGGCTAACACATTCAGACACACAGAAATGCTGAGGCTTTCCAATCGCTCCAGTTCTCAGGGCCATTAGTCAAAAGTCCCAAGCCTTCCTTGACAGCAGTTGCACCAAGAATACCTTTTGTAACTTCCTCCTACCTTTCCGCTCAATGAGAACTTTCCCCTTAGCCCTTGTCACTGGACACACCAGCTCCTTTCTCTCTCCTGCTGCTCCCTGACATCTCCTGCCCTTTCACTTAAGCTCATGCTGGTTAGGAGTGAATATCACATGTCATGGTCCCAACAGAGGGGAAGATGTGACTCAAAGGACAGGAATTCGTTAAAGGATAAAGGTGAGAATGAGAAGAGTCCTTCCTACGGAAATAGAAGAGATATGACTCACAGGGAGGAGAGACAGTGTGATTGAAGGGAGAAAAGTATGACGACCTGCATCTCAACTGGTTTATTTTTATCTCTTTCTGCTTCAAGGTCACCAAGGAGAAGGATATCAAATAAGTACTGCTCAATCTTTATTCACGTGTGGAAATTTTGCCTCAACTCCTCCGTGTAAAAACTTGATGCCATTGATAATGATGTTTATGAAGATAAGCTTGAAGCACAGAAAATAATATAGGTATATATGTCTGGTTGAAATACAGTATATATACCAGTTATTAATTCTAGGAAATGGAGTATTACGGGTACATTTTATTTTATTATTTTTACTTTTTTGCCTTTTCATCATATCATATTTTACATTAGAATTTTCATGATTAGAAAAAAAAAATAAACTTTTATTTCTAAAAGAGTGCTTCCCCAGGAGTCTGTTTAATCGATCTGTGAGTTACATAAAAACAAATAAACCGTGTCCTGCAAGTTAGGGTGGGGCACAGAGATTTATAGTTTGGATGGGATCTTTAAGACTGAACTGACTGTGCTCGGCACAAAGAAACCAGACGGAGGGGACAGACAGGGGTGAAATCCAGCCTATGATTCTGTTGCAAGCACTGTGTCCTGGGAAGCAGTTGCTGCAGCCCAAAACTAGAGATACTGTTTCAGAATTGGTCTCCTGGAGGGGGAATGATTGGGTAATTTGCTTGCCAAATCAGGCACCTCTGGCGATGTGCATGAAGGCACTTGCCTATGTGAGAGGAATTCCTGGTCCGGTTTGATGTCAATTATTGGGTCTGTATGTTTCCCTCAGCACCGACAGCTCCTCAGGAGCTCTCCAATCCTATTTCCTCTTCTCACATTCCACTATATGAATCCATCAGAAAGTTGCCCCGGTCAGACAGTTAACTTCAGCAAACCGAAGACTAATTAATTTATTTTAGAGTAAAATGGCAGATCGTATGTATCTAAATCTTATGATGTATTTATAGATCATATATTTGGTACCTGATACAATTATTTTGTGTCACTTAATCTTCATAGTAGCTCTAGAAGGTTGACAGTTCTCTCCTTTTTACTCTCTGTATATAAAGAAAAAAGGGCACAGAAAGGTAAATTTACTTTCCAAGGGACAGTTCGGTGGCTTATATACTCCTTGATTTAACATCCAGGGTTGTTATTCTGGCTTGGGTTAGGTGTGCTAATGTTAGGACAACAGGGATAAGATGAAAATTAAACAGTGAATAAGCCAGGATTCCACCTAAGCTGGAGAAAGCTGAAAAGAGCCTTACTCTCATCCTTACAATTATGAAAAAGTTGCTGTCCTTTGGATGGGGCTCCTTTATTTCATATTCTTTGACATCCTTGAATGTTTCACTGTGCTATAAGGTGGGTTTAATTGATCAGCTTTATTTCTGAATCATTTCATGGTGCCAAGGGTCAGCTCAGCACTGTTAGGCTGTATGCTCTAGCCCTGGGGGTCTGAAACTAGGCCCATACCTCTTTTTCCTGGCCACTTAAGGTGAGGGATGTGCTGTGCTGAAGGGACTGACGTGTTCTCAGTCCACTGACGACAACATTTATGTGAGGACATGCTGGCAAAAATGCTTTGGAGGGACAGCAATGGTGGCTCAGCGTCACCAAGGCCATGCTGTAAGTGGGTGTGGCCAGGTAGAAACTCTGGGACAGGCCAGCAGAGGAGGAGCACTCTAATCTAACAGGCCCCACCCTATGAGCAGATAGTTCATTTCTATCCAGGTCCAGCAGCCAACAAAGGCTAGAGCCACCGAGAGGAGTATGGCAAGCCTTCAGGGCTGGGCATCCACATCCATGCTCCACTGCAGCCATTCCTGCGTCAAACCCTGTCGGTGCATTCTGGAGTTCTGTCTCTGCCAACTCTCCTGGCATTTCTCCCAGCCAGCTCAGATGTCTGTGGGAGTTCCAGGATCTCCTCTGGCTAGAATTCTGGAAGTCCATGATGAGAGTGGGCCACTCTATACCTATTTCATTCAACCCTTTCCCACATTTTTAATTTTTTGAGAAACCTCAATAATGTTTTCCGTAATGATTATACCATTGTGCATTCCTATAAACAGTGTATAAGGATTGCAAATTCTCTACATCTCACCGACATCTGTTGCCTTTGTTTGTTTGTTGATAATAGACATCCTAACAGATGTGAGGTGATGGAATACTGTCAGACAGTCTTCCAAAGTGGCTGCAACAATTTACATTCCCACAAGCAGTGTAGAAAAGTTCTAATTTCTCGACATACACATCAACATTTGTTATTACATAATTTGTTATTCTAGTCAGCCTAGTGGGTATACCCAAACTAGTGGGTATGAAGTGATTTGCATTTCCCTGGTTAATAATGATGTCAAGCATTTTCAAAAATACTTATTGACTGTTTGCACATCTTCCTTGGAGAAATTTCTATTCAAAGTCTTTGCCTAGTTTTTAATTAGTTTGTCTTTATTATTAAGTTGTATAGTTCTTTATATATTCTAGATACAAGTCCCTTATGGAATACATGATTTGCCAATATTTACTTTCATTCTACTGGTTGTCTTCTAATATTCTTGATAATGTTATTTGATACGTAAAAGTTTTTAATTTTAATGAAGTCCAATTTATATATTTTTTGCATATGCATTTGATATCATATCTTAGAATCTATCACCAAATCCAAGGTCATGTGGATTTACACCTATATTTTATTCTAAGAAATGTATCATTTCAGTTCTTACGTTTAAGAGTTTTGATCCATCTGGGCACAGTGGCTCATGCCTGCAATCCCAACACTTTGGGAGGCCAAGGCAAGTGGATCAGGAAGTCAGAAGTTTGAGATCAGCCTGACCAACGTGGCAAAACCCCATTTCTACTAAAAATACAAAAAATTAGCCAAGTGTGGTAGCGCACACCTGTAATCCCAGCCACTCAGGAGGCTGAGGCAGGAGAATCGCTTGGACCCAAGAGGCGGAGATTGCAGTGAGCTGAGGTTGCACCACTGCATTCCAGCCTGGGCCACAGAGTGAGACTCTGTCTCAAAAAAAAAAAAAAAAAGGAAGAAAAAGAGTTTTGATCCATTTTGAACTAATTTTTTATATGATATGATATAATGGATCAAGTTTATTCATTTTTATGTGACTATCCAGTTGTCACAGTATAATTTGTTGAAAATGACTAGTCATCTTTTTTATTAGAGAGAAAGCTACAATACCTGTGAATTTTAAAATAGCATCCTCCTGGCAAATGAGCAAATTAAGATAAAGTCTTTTGAGTGGATCTCAATTTAATATGACTATGCCCTATAAAAAGGAAAAATTTGAACACAGAGAAGGACGTGCTATGGAGAACACCCTGTGAACATAAAAACAGATATTAAGATTATGCATTTTTTGGCCGGGCGCGGTGGCTCACACCTGTAATCCCAGCACTTTGGGACGCCGAGGCAGGTGGATCATAAGGTCAAGAGATCGAGACCATCCTGGTCAACATGGTGAAACCCCGTCTCTACTAAAAATACAAAAATTAGCTGGGCATGGTGGCGCACGCCTGTAGTCCCAACTACTCGGGAGGCTGAGGCAGGAGAATTGCCTGAACCCAGGAGGCGGAGGTTGCGGTGAGCTGAGATCGCACCATTGCACTCCAGCCTGGGTAACAAGAGCGAAACTCCGTCTCAAAAAAAAAAAACAAAAAAACAAAGATTATGCATTTTTAAGCCAAAGAACACTGAAGATTTTCACCAAACCACTAGAACCTATGAAGTAAGCACAGGACAGATTCCTTCAAAGCCATCAGAAGAAATCAAATCTGCTGACACTTGATCTTGGACTCATAGCCTCCAGAGCTGTGAAACCACAAATCCATGTTGTTTAAGACACCCAGTTTGTGGTCTTTTCTTTTAGAGGCCCTAGAAAAGTAGTAGCTAATTTAGTAAATACCTAAAAATGTGGAGATGGCTTTGGAATTGGAAAATTGCTTTCAGCTGGAAAAATGAGGTGTGTAATATAAAAAGTGTAGGTTGCCTTTAAGAGATTATTAGTAGGTATGGACATTAAGGGAGGTTCTAATATGGGCTTAGAAAGAAAAGAGGACAGTCAAAGAGAAAGCCTCTATTATCTTTTAGAATAAACATGTCATCTTGAACAGAATGCTGCTAGAAATATAAATGTTAAAGGTGCTTCTGATGAGGTCTCAGATGGAGACAACGTATATGCGCAGAAAATAGGGAAAAAGGCAATTCTCATTATATTGTGAGAGAAGACTTGGTTCTCTTGGCTGTATTGTGCTCTGCTGAATAAATAGTAGAATCCATTAAGTGATGAACTCAGATATTTAGCTGAGGAGATCTCTAAACACAGTGTTGAAGGAATACCCTAATTTCTTCTTATTGTTTAAAATAAAATGAGAAGAGAAATAAACTGAAGAGAGACATTTTGAAAAAAATAAAGGAGAGTTTGAATACAAGCATTAGAAAACTCCTTCGCCTATTCACATTGCAGAGAGAGAGAGACTCGAGAGAGAATACCAAGAGAGATGTGTTTCTGGATACTGGATGACCACATGCTGAACAGATTAGGTACATGACAAGTGGATACCATCAACCATCTCAGCTGACATGCTGTCAGCTGTACCAAAGTATACTGAGCATGAATACAAAGAGCCTTAAAATCTAATATAATTTTCTTTACTGGTTTCTGAATTTGTTTGGGACTTGTATCCCTTTTCTTCTTTCTGGTCTTTTCTTTTAAAATGGAAATGTCTATGCCATGCCTGTCAGATCATAGTATTTTGAAAGAGATAACATATTTTCTAGCTTTTCAGGTTCACAGATGGAGAGGCATTTTGCCATGGAATTAATTGTATTCTGAGTCTCACCCATATTTATTTTGATATTTAGTTGAGATTTTGGACTTAGATAATTTTGATGAATGAGTTGAGACGGGGATACTGGGATGAGGTGATTATATTTTACATTTCATCAGAATACGAATTAGTGAAGGTCAAGAGTGGAGTTCTACTGGTTGAACTGTATCCTCCCAAAGTTTGTGGGCTCGGTTCCTTATGTCTCATATCTCAGAACATGACTTTATTTGGAATAGGATAATTACGGATACAATGAAGTAAGCTGAGGGCGTTGGGTTAATGATTGTCTAATTCAATACCACTGGTGTCCTTATTTTTTTTATGGAAATTCCAGAGACATATTTACAGGTAGAACATCATTTGACAACGAAAGTAGAGATCAGAATAATGCATTCATAAGCCAAAGAACACCAAAGATTTCTGGCAAACCACCAAAAGCTAGGAAAGATACATGAAATGGTTGCTTTCTCAGAAGAAATCAACCCTACTGACCTCTTGATCTCAGGCTTAATTCCTCCAGAGATATGAAATAATAAATTTCTGTTGCTTAAGCTACCAAGTCAAAGGTACTTTGTTACAGCAACCCTTTAAAACTAATACACTCTTAAAGGACCATCTTCCTTTTCATCAGAACATTTATCTCAGTGTATCACATTTATTAATTGCCTGTTAAGAAAAATAACTATCTTCCAAATTCAAGTATAAGGTCCATAAAATTTGGATTTGTTAATTTCCTCTTTTATCTACAGAACCTTAGAGAGTTTCTGGTAGCTATTAAGAACTCAGTAGAATGGATGAATAGATAAATGGGTGAATGAGTGAATGGCATTCTGGCTTCTCATCAATGCCTCTTTAACACAGCTGTAAAATTTGGCTTAAGCCCCTAGGCTCTATAGCCAAGTTACATTTCATCTTGAATAGTCAACTTCCAGTCATGATTTGAACATGATCATGTAACAAAATGGCCATATTTAATTTTTTAAGGCACTCCGTGACAAAAGAGGATAAGAGAAATTATTAGATATTGTTTCTGATAGAACTTAAGCAGTCTAGGCTGAAGAAACAAAGAGATCCCCTTGCATTTAACAGAAAGAAGAATGATTTAGTTATTATATTAATTTAATATGACTAAGGGTAGAATGAGCTGTACTATGAGATTGTGAGTTTTCTGTTGTGACCTTTCTTTTTGGAGGGCTGTCATGGTCTATCATTCCTTATTTTTTATTTTTTAAATTTTCTACATTGGCAGATAACGTTATATGTTTTTATCAGGTACAATATGATGTTTTGAAGTATATGTATATTCTGAGGTGATTAAATCTCGCTAATTAACAAATATATTGCCTCACAGCTATCATTTTGGTCATGAGAAAACATAACATCTCCTCTTTTTACATTTTTCAGGAATACAACATTTCATCTTTAGCTATAGTCACCTTGCTGTAAAATAGATCTCTTGATATTTATTCCTACTATCCTTTTACATGTCTTTTGACCAACATTTTCCCATTTCTCTCTCCTACAAACCACCCTCGCCTCTGGTTACCACCACTCTACTCTCTATCACTATGAGAGCAACTTTTAAATGGTTGGGCTCTGTGTCCTTACCTAAATCTCATCTCAAATTGTCATCCCTATAATCCCCAAGTGTGAAGGAAGGGACTTGGCGGAAGGTGATTGGACCATGGGGGCGGTTTCTCCCATGCTGTTTTCATGAAAATGAGTGAGTTCTCACAAGAGCTGATGGTTTCATAAGTGTTTGACAATTCCTCCTTCACATGCTGTTTCACCTGCCATCATAAAAGGCATGCCTGCTTCCCCTTCTACCATGATTGCAGGTTTCCTGAGGCTGCCCCAGCCATGTGGAACTGTGAGTCAATTATATCTTTTCTCTTCATTTTTCTTTTCTGTATAAATTACCTAGTCTTGGGAAGTTCTTCGTAGCAGTATGAGAACAGACTGCTACAATGGGATCCTGTGATATTTGTCTTTCTGTGCCTGGCTTATTTCATTTAACATAATTTCCTTCAGGCTCATCCACGTCATCCCAAATGAAAGGACTTCCTTCCTTTTTATGGTTAAAAGTATTCTATTTTGTATATATACATTTTCTGTCCTTTTTGTGGGGGCTCGGGGACGTTGATTTTCTTGGCATTTGGGAGACATCCTCCTCCTCCATCAGGAGAGGACAGAGAGAGTTGCCTGGATGTTTATGGACAAATGGGTGTACCAAAAGCCCATGAAAGCAGACGAGATCGTTGGAGACCATGCAGTCTTGTGTTCAAGTCTTATGTGGTCTCTACATTTTTGAGCTTTTAAGAATAATAGCAGAGGTTGCAGTGAGCCAAGATGGTGCCACTATATTCCAGCTTAACAGAGTGAGACCCTGTCTCAAAAAAAAATAAAAAAAGAATCTTTGGCCACACTTGGTGGCTCATGCCTGAAAGTATAGATTCACCAATAGCTTGCACCATGTACCTGAAAAAGCCAAAGGCACTCAGTGCTAGCTGTGAAAGCAACCAGAAGGGGGGCTGTACAAAGCCACAGGGGTGAAAGTACCCAAAACCAGTAGGAGCCCACCTCTTGCGTCAGCATGACCTGGATATGAGACGTGGAATCAGAGCAGATCATTCATCTTGGAACTTTAAGATTTAATGACTGCTCTATTGGATTCTGGACTTGCATGGCGCCTGCCCCTTGGTTTTGGCCAATTTGTTCCATTCTAAAGGGGTGTATTTACCCAATGCCTGTACCTCCATTGCATATAGGAAGTACCTAACTTGCTTTGGATTTTACAGACTCATAGGCAGAAGGGACTTGTCTCCCATCAGATGAGACTTCGGACTTGGACTTTTGTATTAATGCTGAAATGAGTTAAGACTTTGGGGGACTATTGGAAGGGCATGATTGTGTTCTGAAATGTGAGGACACGAGACGTGGGAGGAGCCATGGGCACAGTATTTGTGGACGAGTATGTCTGCCCACTGTAAACCTCTCTTTTTCCTTAATATTCAGGGGCAGATTTCTCACTGATTCTTTCATTTATCATTTTCAACTTTCTATTTTAATCTCGGACTTTTATAGACTTTGATGACAGGCTCTCTCAGCTTCCTTTTTCCAGGCTTAAGTGTCCCCATACTTTGTCCTCTCTCTTTCCATCTACTGATCTTTCCCATAAAGTGATTATTAACTGTCTTCATTAAAGATTTCCCCTGATGTCCTCTACCTTCCCTGAGGTGAGGTGGTGGATAGAATAGTACATTCTGCCCCATGTGCAGACATGACAATGGTTATGCAGAAAGAACTTTCAACAAGGAATGAAAATTGAAACCTACAGAAAACACAACAAAAAACTGGATAGTTAAGGGCAGCATGGACACAAATAAATAAACTTGCTCCTTTTCAAAGTAGGCCGAGGCGTGATCTAGAATAGAAATTTAGAGCTGTAAAGGAACTTAATTTCTGCAGGTCAGTTAGCTGGTTCGGCACATTATGTGAAGTTACTGTCATCTTGTGGCAAGACCTAAGCACTACACTTTCTGACCTTGAATAACCTAGGAAAATACAATCCACAACACAACCAGGCCTTTTGCTAACGCGCCTTAAATACTGCCTAACAGTTTATATCTGAATAGAACTATGGCATATATCGTCACTTACATGGTCTCATGCCGAATTCAAAGAAATCATGTGAGCATAGAAACCATGTTATTCACGTTGAGTGCTTGCGTGCACGCGCACACACAAATACACACACACAGAGTAAAAGACGTCATGGTTTTTGCTGTTAGAGTCGAACTTAAAAATCTCTAAATTGTTACATTTGGAGGCTCTCATTTTGGGGGATCCTTGTGTGAGACGCTCCTTTGTTGGTCAGTTTTAATCATACAGACAAATAAATGATATATCAATTGTACATAGATTAAAAATGTAAACAAAGGGCAGATAAGATGGAGACATTCAATGATCTGTCCAATAATATAAAAACAATTTTTGTGTGCAGGCAACTTACATTGACTGGAAGGAAAGAGAAGGATAAATAATACTTGAATTTGAAAGAGCGGATGTATGAATAACAAGACTCCCTTGAAGAAGAACGGATCGTCTGGGACCACAGCAGGCTAGGGACAGGGAGAACAATGGACAGGCTGTGTGGAAGAACAAAATGACCTAGTATCCAGTTTATTTATTTTTTCAGTGCTATCATTTCTTTCCTTTATCTTCAAAACTTGCTAAACCATGTAAATGCAGTTTTGAGAAATTAAGATTGAAATTTCATATTCATGTTCACTGCAATTGAACTGGAGACAAAGGTGGGTAAAAAGGAAAGTTGAAAAAGGGGGGTAAAGGGGGTAAAGAGGCTGGCGTACTAAATTAGCAATAAATTCCAGCAGCGTTCCTTTGGGGACTTTCATGCTGAAATGTAATCCCCAGTGTTGGAGGTGGGGCCTGATGGGAGGTGTCTGGATCACGGGGGCGGATCCCTCATGAATAGCTTAGGGCCATCCCCTCCTTCCTTCACCAACAGGCATTCCCTGAAATGCCATAAAAGGAAAGGCCCAGGCTTGGCAGAGAAACGGATCTGGCAGATTCGGGACTCCTACGTATACTTTTTCCCTCCTCTTCCTGAAGACATTTTGCTACAAGCATATAACTCAACTTCTGAAAAATACGGTCTTCCTCACTGCGGATACCACGCCAGCGTTTTGAATCGTCAAGTTAACTGTCTTCATCTGTCCTGTTTGCAGTATGTCGTTTGCCTGTGACAATATTACACTTATCTGGAAGAAAGAATTTAAACCTATCCAGTTCCTCATTGGTGGTGTTATCCAGGCCCGTTAGCAAGAGTATCTCCGTATTTTACTCTCCGTTTCACGACTTCAGGATCAGCTTATAAGGAACACAAACTATGTAAGATCATACCACCCAAAGTGATTCTACATTCAAAATAAAGCGAGGTGAGCTGTTCATATTTTGTAAAGGGGAAATAAAATGTTTACAGTGTTGGGGACCAGTACGACCCTGTGCTGGGGTGCCCCGTGTCCCTGGAGTGATGAGGGAGTGAGAAAAGGAAATAAAGACCAAGACACGAGTAGAAGTTCACAGCATGGGTCCAGGGGTCCAACGCACTCTCACACGGGGTGATCTGCCTTGGCACTGAGCTCTGGGCTCTACATGCTTTCATGTATACACTCGTTAATTGAGAGACGGGGGAGGCCTTGAAACTATTGGAAGAGGCCTTGAAACTAAAGTGGGCAAGATAGCCAAGGGGGAGAGGTGTGGTCTTGCCGTGATTCTTAAGCAAACCTGGTTGCTACCAACGTGCATTTGCATCAGAAGCTTAGCGGATAGGCGCCACCAGCTCTGACCACACCCAATGCTTTTATCTCCGGAGCATTGCTGGCATAGAGCAATTAAAATTACTGCATATTCTGAGAACCTTGGCAGAACCTGTGGCATTCTGGTAATCTCTGCTCTGCCAGGCTTTTCCTTCTTGCAAGCTCCTACCTACAAAGACCCTCCCAGATCTTGTGAGCAGAGGTCGCCTCCCGGAGATCTTAACGCAAGTCCTCTTTAGGAGATCCTCATGCAGACTCCTTCCTGAGAAGGCATTCGTAGGACAAAAAGCAGTATTTACTGCCCTGCAACATGCAGACTCCTTCCTGAGAAGGCATTCGCAGGACAAAAAGCAGTATTTACTGCCCTGCAACCACCCCACGTATTCCACGGTTTCACAGCGCTCTCGGATGGTCTTTGCACCCTGCTGCTGCTTGATTTCTATTTTACTGCACCAATATTTGATATAGCTTAGTTCGGGGTAGAAACTTCAGTGTACAATAAGCAAAGCAAGCTTATAATTATTTGACTAGAATTAACATAGGTCTGCCCCTGGCCATCTTGACCCACACACAGTATAGTAAAAGAGATTTTGGGTCGGGCGCGGTGGCTCACGCCTGTAATCCCAGCACTTTGGGAGGCCGAGGTGGGTGGATCACGAGGTCAAGAGATCGAGACCATCCTGGTCAACATGGTGAAACCCCGTCTCTACTAAAAATACAAAAAAATTAGCTGGGCAAGGTGGCACGTGCCTGTAATCCCAGCTACTCAGGAGGCTGAGGCAGGACAATTGCCTGAACCCAGGAGGCGGAGGTTGCGGTGAGGTGAGCCGAGATCACGCCATTGCACTCCAGCCTGGGTAACAAGAGCGAAGCTCCGTCTCAAAAAAAAAAAAAAGAGATTTTGGTGAAATACAAGAAAGAACTCCTTAAGCAAAATGGTCATTCTTCCTGGGAAAGACATCTTCAGAGAGTATACACCTCTGGAATTCTTAGAAAATGAGATACATTTTCCTGTTATTTTTTAAAAGTTATTCAGGCATAACTGACATACAACACAATGCACATATTTTAAGTGTACAATTTAAAAATTTTTGAGTGTATACAGTAAAGCTCAATTTTTAAGTTTCTTCTTTAATAAATCATGTTTTGGGAATAATACTTAGGTGATTTGAATATTTATTTGCCTCAAATCTCATGCTGAAATGTAATTATCCCTAGGGTTGGTGGTAGGACTTGACAGGAAGTGCTTGACTCAGAGGGGTGGATCCCCCATGAATGACTCAGGGCCGTCCCCTTGTTGATCAGTGAGTTTTCCTCCGAGTCACACAGATCTGGTTGTTTAAAGTGTGTAGCACACTGAAGACCTAATGTGACTAGTGTCCTGTTAGAAGAAACAGGATCATCTCAATACTTTGAGGTAGGGGAAGGTGTCTTAAGCACAAAAGGTACAAGACAGGAAGGAAAAGTTAATTACATTTGATTGCATGTACACTCTAAATTTCTCAATAAAAAAGGCAAAATAAACATAATGAACACTTCCAAATCCTGAAAGAAAATATAGGCAATGTGGGGTGGCCGTGGTGGCTCACAGCTGTAATCCAAGCACTTTGGAGGCGAAGGCGGGCGGATCACTTGAGGTCGGGAGTTCAAGACCAGCCTGACCAACATGGTGAAATCCTGTCTTTAAAAAAATTTTTAAAAAATAATAATAAACAAATAAACAAAAATGTAGGCAATGTATATAATTCATAATGTATGTAGAACCAGATATTGTCCCATTTGTGCAGCCCACATGAAAAATGGACAACAGATATGAATAACCACATGACTCAAATGCCCAGCACACATATGAACGGGTGCTCAAAATTACCAGTATTTCGTGACTTCTAAAGCAGCAACCTATACGGTAGAGGACTTGAGCCAAGAACAAGAAAAGATGTTTCTGAGCTTAAGATAACCAACTGTAACTTTCAGGGGAGCTTGAATCCTCCCATTGATAGAAACAATGTTAATATATTCTGAGTTATTACTTTTAATATGAAGTTATTATTTTTTCCTATAGGCAGGTGATACCTAGAGAAACTGCTTATCCGTGTAGAATTTATAAGCAAAAATTAAAAGTATTATCAAGAACATTTTCAAAATAAGGAACCCATTTTAAATACTTAAAATAATTAAACCACCTAAATGTCCCAGTCTTACCATTGAAAGAAATGAAGGAAATTTTCATTTTTTGAGGATCTATTATATGCTAAATAGAATCAACTCAGCATGTTTCCTACTTATCTATAACAATGCAATTCTCCTATAACATTATTATTTGCTAACGTTCAGATATCAATCACAATTTATATATAAGAAAATTAAGATAGCTCTTTCTCTGACATTTTGCTTTTCTCATATAAATATGAAATTTGCATTTTAGTCCACGATACCCGTTTACTTAAAAAAAAATTTTAAGCCAGGCGTGGTGGCTCACACCTGTAATCCCAGCACTCTGGGAGGCTGAGGTGGGTGGATCACCTGATGTCAGGAGTTCAAGACCAACCTGGCCAACACGGTGAAACCCCATCTCTACTAAAAATACAAGAATTAGCCAGGGGTGGTGGCACGTGCCTGTAATCCCAGCTACTCAGGAGGCTGAGGCAGGAGAATTGCTTGAACCCGGGAGGTGGAGGTTGCGGTGAGCCAAGGTCATGCCATTGCACTTCAGCCTGGGTGACAGAGTGAGACCACCATCTAAAATATATATACATTTTTAAAGTATTTGCTATAGGGTAAAATTAATACCTAAAGAAAATGCAGATAATCTATAAGGTGGCTTCATGACCCAGGGGTGTGGGCACTGTAGCTGAGAAGCGTGGTCCTGTACCATGCATAATAGCTGACACTGGATGGCACCTTGCTGTGTGCAAAGTGCTTTCATGTGGAGTCTGGAAGACACGAAGAAAAGGAAAGATTGAGGGAACATATAATTATCCCTGAATGGGGATGATAATTCCTATCTCTGGGTTATAAATACGCAGCATGGTATGCCTGATACAAGACAGCTGGCATTTATTATAGTCTCCCAATTATTACATTTTATTATTTTTTATTTTTATTTTTTTTTGAGACAGAGTTTCACTGTTGTTGCCCAGGCTGGAGTGCAATGGCGCGATCTCGGCTCACCGCAACCTCCACCTCCTAGGTTCAAGCAATTCTCCTGCCTCAGCCTCCCGAGTAGCTGAGACTACAGGTGCATGCCACCATGCCCAGCTAATTTTTTTTGTATTTTTAGTAGAGATGCGGTTTCACCATGTTAACCAGGATGGTCTCAATCTCTTGACCTTGTGATCCACCCACCTTGGCCTCCCAAAGTGCTGGGATTATAGGTGTGAGCCACCGCGCCCAGCCTCAAATCATTTCTTTCTTTTCACCTAGAATATTGGCACAGCTTCTTCCTTCACTCTGTTCCAATTCTGCTTAATTGTTTTCTTCTAAGCTCAACCTTCAATGAACACATGCTGCAATACAGCACATTATACCGTTACTCTCTATTACCTTACACCATTTATATTTCTTCATCGCACTTATCTGCTTATAATACACATGCCTTATATTATATATGACATTATAGTATAAATGCTGTTGCTATTTGATTATTCTTTAATTGCCAGCCTGCTGAAATAAAAGTGCCTTGAGGGCAAGGATTTGTGTGCTGTTTATTGCTGTACTCCTACCACCTAGAGTAGTGTCTTGCACATAGTAAGTTCTCAGTAAACATTTGTCAAACAAGCATGTGTTGAATCAACTGTCTAGGCATCCCATCTAAGACTTCAGCCCTGGGAATCTCTAGTTCCTAAGCTCTATTCATCCATATGGCTTGATTAGTCAAGAGACAGGGTTACCGTCAAGTTGCCTTGACGGGAGGTCAGACACACCCACCTCTGCACTCAGCACCTGACTCTGCACCCGGCACCAGGCTCTGCACCCGGCACCAGGCTCTGCACCCGGCACCAGGCTCTGCACTCGGCACCAGGCTCCGCCGCATGGCTCAATCCACATCTATCTACTTGTAGAATAATTTCAAAAGAGAGCAAGGTCAAGAAGGCTTTAAAAATCTAAGGTATGATGCCAAATCTATAATAGATACATAATGAAAGGGGCAAATTTAGAAACTTCTGTCTCTGGAGGGAGTAATCCAACTTCCTATGGTTCCACTGTGCAAGTTACCCTAGATTCTAAGAAGGAAGTAAAACATGGTGTTATCACAAGGAAACTTGAAGTAACTGAGTTTGTGTGAACTTTCAGACTAAGCTGATACATAAACACGTGGTTTTTTTTTTTTTAACATTTCTGCTTGAAATAATCTAGTTATTTCATCTAGAATAATTTAACTGGCGAATCCAATATTTATTTAGATGATGAGTGTATTTTTATTCTGGCTATATCATAATATTCTGAAATTACAAAATTATGTAACAGTTAAATTATCGCCATAAAGCTAAGAAGAAATAACTTGTTGTATTCCAAATTCTTAAAGGAGCGCAATCTCTGTTCTCTAAGTAATCCCTTCTCTGTTTTGCTGTTTATTGTGATTCTTGGGTTGGAATCAGGTTTTGGCTGTATCAGCCTAAGGAGCAGTTAGCCACCTGTCACCGAGCTAGGGGAAAAAAAAGACCAAGACGATAGGTATTTGCAGCATAAACTTCTCCCATCTTGTCTGCCCATAATTCTGTATTATTTTGCATTTCTGACACTCATGACTTGATACCTTAAACATTCAAAAATACAGAAACATTTATTTGCATAAACAGGAGTGTTTTCTTAAACCAAATATTATCAACCCTTAATCTAAAAATATAAAAAATAAAATAAAATTCAAATACCACTTCTACATTACTTGTAAATTTTATTTGTCTCTTCTTAATATATTAATATCCAAATTTGAGCAAAAATACTAAGCCCGGATGCAGTGGCTCATGCCTGTAATCCCAGCACTTTGGGAGGCTGCTTGAGCTCAGGAGTTCAAAACCAGCCTGGGCAACATGGCAAGACCTCATCTTGAAAAGAAAAAAAAAAAAAAAACGTTAAGAAATCTAAATTTCACTTCATTTTGCCCTTATTGCTAAGTAAATCTCAGTAAATTATAGATTTTAGTAATTTGGGGTAAGAATTCCCAAAACCAGCTGGGCACAGCAGCTCATGCCTCTAATCCCAGCACTTTGGGAGGCTGAGGTGGGTGGATCACTTGAGGTCAGGAGTTCGAGACCAGCCTGGCCAACATGGTGAAACTTTGTATCTACTGAAAATACAAAAATTAGCCAGGCATGGTGGCGCAGGCCTATAATTCTGGCTACTTAGGAGGCTGAGGCAGGAAAATCACTTGAACCTGGAAGGCAGAGGTTGCGGTAAGCCTGGGCAACAAAGCAAGACTCCATCTCAAAAGAAAAAAATAAAAATCCCAGCCGGGCGCGGTGGCTCAAGCCTGTAATCCCAGCACT